AAACACATCTTAGCAACTTAATCTGATGAGCTGGGGCCAGGCCAGGAGATGAGAAAAGGTCATTCTACAGAGGCCAGTGGCTAGCAATTCAACACCAGGAAGAGGTGGGAAATGGGACCATCAGAGTAAAAAGATGCATGGGGAGATACAAAACCACTATGAAAGAGACCAAGAGAGCCAAGTGGAGAGAACAGAGAGGAGCTAGTGACCCAAGCTGCATCAATTCTCAAAAGCCTTCAGTTTCATTTCATGACACCCGCAAAGTAAACCTTCATTTATTATTACTACTTTAGTGAGTTTCTGACCATGTAACCATGAACAATCAGCACCAGAGCCCAGTGCAGACAAGAGGCTGGCTCTGAAGCCATCACAAGGCATAGGGCAAGGAGGGTACTACTGAATCCTCAGTGGTGGGAAGACTCTTTGCTGTTATACCTATTACCGAGGTCTTTGGGACACATCGATGAATAAAAAGTTTTGTCCTGGTGAACCTTGTCCTTTGGAATGAGTGAGACAGAAAAGAAACAGAAATCATGATAAATACATAATTCTACAGAGTTCTTGAAGGTGGTTAAGAGGTGTGCACAGGGAGAGGGTAAGAAAGAGACAAGAAGGGAAGTAGGACTGACAGGGCAGCTAGGAAGAGTGAAGCAAGGAAGGTTTAAAAACTTTCAATTTACTTAGTATTAGGTACGAGTTTCAGTTATAAGACTGAAGAAAGGATTGTAGAGTAGGACAGAAACCTCAAGTTACCAAAAGCTCAGTTCAATAAAGGCACTGCTCCAAACATTAAGTATACCTATATAACAAGCTTACAAATCCACATCATCTGTAACAGACACACGCAGTATATGCTGCATTAGAACATTTCCAAGTAATACTTCCATTTGCTATTCTTTTCTGACAAGCAAAGTATAAGAGTGGCACTGATGGGAAATAATGCAAAGGTTTCGTGTGGGAATCAGAAGTTGTTCCTACTGCACTGTTTGACTGAAGCTTTCAAAAGCAAAGTTACATTGCCTAGGGATACACTCATATGAAATGCAAAGTAGAAATTTCAGGATAGGGTTATCTCTTGGGGATGAAGGTGGGAAAAGCAAATGTGAAAAGTACACCAGGGATTCCAGCTGCATTTACCAAGTTTGCCATTATAAGCTGGGTAATAGGTACATTTGTGACTGTATCTTTATTTTTAAAATTTTAAAAATAAACATTAACCATAACTGAATAATAATACTATAAATAATATAAAATATATAAAAACCAATAAAAAACATACCCTAAGAGGGACATCTGACACATGGTTGTACAAACAGGTATAAAAATATGCATAAGGGAATCACCATAATAGTGAAAATACAGGTAGGTGAGAGTATCAGGGTCCTATGAATTTGCCAGGGGAAGAAATTAAGATTATTTTCTGTTCCATGTTTCTCAGTGGTGATATCCTTGTCAGTCCCTTTCAGAACTAGTGAATGCACATATCAATGATTTCTCCCACCCTAAACTCATAAATAACAGATATATTCACATATACATAAACATGTGTGCATCATGAAAAATACTATGGACTCAAGTAGCTCAAGAGCATGTTCATTTGCTTTTGCAAAAATTATTATGAAACACTATTATTTTTCTACTGGCATGTAAATGATTTTTACTAAATATATGATTTTTAAGACAGAAGCTCATACTTTGTTGACATATGTTTTCTGATAAATATTAGATTTTCATACCAAACAAATTAATCATCACATTACATTTCTTCCTTAAAACCAGTCATGGCACCACTTGTCTTTCCTTACCTGGTCCTCTTTAAGATAAAGGGATGACAAGCTAAACATTCAAGACTCCTCAGGATTTTAACCCTCTGTTCCACTAGACATACAGTATGGCATTACACATGTTCTTTTTTTTTTTTTTTAGGTATTGGCAACAAAGCAGTAACAACATATAAACAGTATTCTAGTTTTTAAAGCCTTTGGGAACCTCATTGAGAATAGGTAGCCAGCACAGGACTGCTCTCCTCTGCCACATGTCCTGAATACCTCCACTCACCAACACAGATCCTCAATCACATCCCCTTACAGCGGCTGAGCTTTTGACCCAAGAAGGGAGAGGATGCAAGGAAACAGAAGAATGGATATCTATCTATCTATCTATCTATCTATCTATCTATCTATCTACCTACCTATCTATATTTTTTTTAATGCAGGAAAGCCTGAGGGTCTAGGTGTTTGACAGAAACTCCTGTAACTACTGGTATAATTTAGAATGCAGAAAATCAGCTGTAGAGAGAAAATGCAAACCACCAATAATTCTGTCAGACTATGAGTTTGTAACCCCTAGTTTCAACATCTAGTTTAGTCTTGAATTGTGCTGAATATATCACTACTATTGAGTTTGAATCTATAAAAATGCTCAGAAAACTCAAGTCATATTTTTGGCAGGACTCTAAACTAAACCTAATCTCAATATGAAAAATGAATTTAAAAATAAAGCCAGACTCACCCTTTTCTATGTGTCAATGAAACAAGAGTATTTTTTAATCTCTTCAGTTATAGATATGATTATCAAAAACAAGGAATAGAACACATCTTATTCCTTTTAACTGTCAATAATTGCTATTTTCCAAATGCACTCTCACTTTCATTTTTCTAAAGTATAATAAAACATACTGTTTGACTAAGCACTACGAAGCTATGAGGTTATGGAGATGAAGATCTCCCTGCATTATTTCCTGTTTTGGTAGAAAACAGATTATAGAACAGAAAAAGCCTTGTTCACAGAAAAGAACTGCTTTGGTCACAAGTGCAAACCATCCATGTGTACTAACTCCTAGTAATAATGGAGCAAGGAGAACTCCCTAGGGACTTAAAGTCAACACCTAGCAATGCTTGGCTGACCTAAGGCAGGAACTGCTCATGTGACACAACCTCACAAAGCCCTTTGTATTCCCAACTGGAGTGACCAGGCAGTTGGAACCCACATTTTTCTAAAGTGCACACTGGGTGGAATTAGAAAAGAACTTTAACAAAGCCTGCAAAGAGAAGTGCTGCTGCTACTTTAACACATACGTACTCACACCTTAGCATACACCCATGCATGTACACACACACACAGAATAAAGATGGAGTCATCCATCCTACTGGGAGATCTAAGACACCTGGGTTGTTTGCTTCCTACAAAACTGCTTACTCTGACATCTTAAAGCAGTGATGGGGGATGGGGACAGCAGACCTAAAATGCTGAGGACCACTGTCTCCCCACCTTGGAGATGAAGGGTGGCAAACCTCATTTCACAGATATTTTAAGTAGCTATAAAGCCCAAGTGGCTCCAACTTTAAGCCTGTGTTTAGATCAGCTTTGAAAAAGGGCTACTCCTCTTTACAATAACTAGGCGCCACTTCTGATGCCAACCTGTGCTGTGTTTGAATTGGGCAACCACACCCGCCAAAACAAGACCACCTACAGGTGGTACAATACATGCCACAACTGATCTCCTTGGCACCGAGATCCATGTGCAGGCAAAAAGCTTTTGTTAAAAGAAAAGACACTTTCAGGCACCACGCCATGATGATTGCCAAAAATCACAAAATTAATTTTATATTTTGAATTCTTAAAGAGATCTATAATCATGCCTTTATAGAAGGTTTAAAATCTAAGGACAACCAAAAAATGAAACCTACCCGCATCTGACCTGAAACACCCTGTTCTCTTGGGTTTCCAGCAACAGCCTTGAGGACTGGGCTGGATATGCTCTAGCCCATGGAAACATCTATTTCAAAATCAGAAAATCCAGTTACTCGTAAGGAAAACTAGAGTTGTCTGAAGTGAACACTTTTTAATGGGGAAGAGCAGTTTCTGCAATGCCTGCCATTCTGAGATTATTACTCTGTACCCTTTTTATTGAGGAGATTAATGCCTCCCTTTTTCCATCCTGCATGCTCCTAAAGTTATAGAACCTAGCCATCTCTGACAGGTCAGTGATCAAACAGAGAGTCAGGTAGTAGCCAAATTCCATACATCTCTTAAGAGTTACCACAAGCCAAGACTTCTCGGCCTCTGCTAAGATCAAGGAACCGTTCAATGTTGAACTGGACAGTAACTGCTTTCCACACAAGCATTTAATATTCTCAAGTGTTTGCCAAACTTTAAACTCAATGATTTTCAAGTAAAAAAACCTTATTTCCTGAATTAGATTTCCTACCCCAAACAAGCCAATTATAAAACAGAAAAATGTGACCTCCTCTTCTTACAAAAGATACATAAGGTGACACAGAGAATAAACCAATGTTGTATTACCTGAGTGATCAAAGCCTATTTAACCAACCTTATCTTTGAATAGCACCAGCCTTTGTATGAGTTTAATTTACTTAAAGTATTTACATTCACATGAACAAACTGGTACAGGAGATAAAATGAAACACAATGTTTTGCCAAGCTACAAAACAAGATGCAGGTTGTTTGTCCACGTCCAATAGCAATCAGTCTACACATTTTGACAATGTAATGCATGCTCAGCCAGCTATTTCCCAGCATCCTTCACCCAGAAGCACTGGAAGCTTACAGGTTGCAGCCAGCTTTAAGGAAAAGCAAAGCAGAGAACTACGGCTGCTGACTTGAAGCTATAAATTCTAGTGCCTGACCCAGAAGAGGGTGCCAAGAGCAAGGAATGTACTATAGGTACTAATTAACTTTAGAACAGTTAACGAAAAATTTTCAAATGCCAAATACTTCTGCCACAAATGACTTCTTTTGCAGAAGCAACCACAAGCAATGACGCATTGAACAGGCATACTGTAGCAGGCAATAAGATTAGAAACATTTACCACCTCAGGCATGGTCACCTGTCTAGGAAAGTGGAGGTGCCCTTGTAGACTCTCCCTTTGTACAGGATCTGTGATTAAACAGAAGCCTTAGTCCACAAAGCTGACCATGGCAGTGATACATATATGAGACAAATCTGTCTGATGTGGAGATCTGCAGAAGGTACTTACACAGCCTCCAGCAAGAATTTCTGCTGCAAATGGGATCGAACCATCTTTGCGCATAAATTTGTCCCGCACAAAATCATTCACCTTAAAGAAAAATATTTACAGAAGATGATGAAAACTATAAAGAAAATCATTACATAATACAAACATGCACCTGCCAAGATGTTATTTGTCTTTTACATAAATTGATAAACTAAAAATCATTTGAGAGAGGTATTCTTAATAGCATACATATAGTTGTTTTAAAGGTAAAACATACTGTATATAAGCATCTCTGATGTTGCAGGGAGAAAAATTAAAAGGTAGGTGGGTTATGAGCCAAAAATTCAAATAAGTCCTACAGTTACAATAGAATCAAAGGGGAGATGTAGTGACTGGAAAGACAAAATAAAAACATTCATTCTATATTTTAAAAACAGTTTTACAAGATTGATTAAAAATCACTTTCAAGTCTTCTAACAAGATTTAATCTAAAATAGCACTCCTCATTGAAACCAATTTGTGCAGATTTTTCAGCTCAGTGGAAATTCAGTATCTAAAAATTCCTCAAGGATTCTCAAAGAATATCAATTACATTAATTAATTAAGTATAATATTCTTAAAATGAAATGCACTACAAGCAATTTTAAGGAACAATCGTAAGTTTTTGGCAGATACAGGCCAGAGCAGCTTAACTATCTCAAGGTCACATCATAAAATGGTACAAGAAGAATTTCATGGACAATGCTAATGGCCCAGTAGTTTAAGTTTCTGGGGCTTTATGGTCTTAGAAACACACAGTATCTATCTCCCCACAAACACTTGAACAAGGTACCGATCGTCTGTCAACTGGAGCCAGGCCCATGGCAAACAGTCTGATGAAGCATCAATTTCAGCTAGAACATAGAGCCCTCCCTATTTGGCTTTGGCAAATGCTTACAGAATACATCCTAAATGTACAATCTATAAACAGCAGATGTAACTGAAAGAGTCCATGTACTGAATTCAGAAAATGTGATTTTGAATTCTAGTTCTCATGCTCATGAACTATGTGACCATAGGCAGGCCACTTACACCCTGTAGGCCTTACTTTCCTTACTTGTTCACAGTGGATCACACTTTACTTAAAATTAAAACAACAGGAAAAGACATGTCAGGTCTGTAATATGGCAGGTAACAAAGGATATTTCACTGCTGTGGCTATGATGATGAAATGATGATGGCAGCAATCACCAACGATCTTCTCAAGTTTATCATCACATTTTCAGACATTCCATGTGAAACAGGGAATAATGAAAAGCTGTGCTTGGTTAGTGCCTTGCCTTCCAATTAATAGCACCTCTGAGTAACCACAAACCTGCTGACTCAAAGAAGAATACCTCCTAGATTCGTGAGTATATGCAAATTCCCTTATTAAGAAGCAGCAACTCAAAAGACTTACTGTAAGTTTTATGGCCTTCTCTGGGGCGACTCCTAATAGCTGAGGCAACAGACCTAAAAATCAACATGAAGCAGAAGTATATTAAATAAATTAGCATTAACTAAACAAATCAACAGCTCTGCAGAGGGGATCACCACTTAAAAACTGGGGCAATCTTCACTGCAATTTTCTGGTATTACCTTTAATGAGAATACTTGAAATGGAATGTTGAAGCACTAACTTCTAATAGCCACATCAGACCGAAGTAAATTCCCTTTCACATTCTGGGGAGTTTGCACATTGTGTAAATCAACAGTGTTAGCGATATAGGAAATCTCATTACTTTAGGAGAAGTCTGTGCCTTCCCCTTCTTCCTGCCTCCTAGGCCAGTGGACATATGTCATATAGGTTTCCTAACACTCTTCTCATCCCCCCAAAGGCTCATAGCTCAGCCATTCATTCACGGAACCATGACTCTGTGACCACCCCAGGACTCCAAGAAAGATTATGCTCTCACATGTCTCACACGGAACAGAAGCCTTCCAGGGGAGGTGACAATTGGAGAAAGATCCATTTCAAGAAGGGGAACAGACAGCATAAGGGAAGGAGCAGAGAAGCAAGCCTGATGTGCTTGAGAGCACACAGGTGGGTGCCAGATGAGTTAGCCACAGCACAGGCCAGGATCCCGAGCCTCATTTATTCTCAGTTGGATGAGAAGTAAATAGAGGGTTTTAACCAAGAGAGCAATGTGCTAATTCATATTTTTAAAGGACCATTCTGGCTGCTGTGTGGAAAAGAGACAGGATATACAGACTGTGTGTGTGTGTGTGTATACATGTATGTGAGCATGTGTACATTGTGTCTCAGGAAGAGAGAGAGCTGGGGTTGAACAAAAGGGCTCAGATTTTAGCATGAACAGTGGGCACAGATGAGGAAGAATAAGAAAAAAATAGCTTTGGGGTGACAAGTAAAGACCTCAACTGTGGATCTGTCCTGCTGAGTGGGAGTTCAGCAAGACCCAGAGTAAAAGGAGGTGTGGCCTTTGACAGGAAAGGGCCACTTTTTAAAAAGGCAGTTAAAACAACAGTGGGCCTAAATATCTGAATTTTAAAATGTCATTTTTCACTTGTTCTAAGAAACAAAATGAAACAGACACTAAGCTAACCCTGAGGGTACAAGTATATAATACCCTGATGTCTTGGGGAGGGGCTTCATAGTGCCATCTTTTGTTGGCAAGTACAGTTTTTTTAATTCATTTATACAGAGGGTCCACTTGTAGCCTCTTCTGAGCGACTACCCTTATCCACACGTCATCTTAGAGAAGCAGTCCACGAACAGAGGTCACGAGGTGTGAGCTGCATGTATCTGACCTGCAGGTGTGTTTGACTGCATAGTCTTGCAAAGACAGACAGATCTGGCAGCCCCCAGCCTCTATGCCATCACAGGAATCTGTGCTAGGTGGGTGAGTCTCCATCCTTTAGAAAGGACCTGTGCATCCAATCCACCAAGGTCCCTACCTGCCCTAGTGCTGAATACCAAGTATCAGTTTTCACTGTTGTTGCACTGTTAGTAGCCTCACAATAGAGGAAAGTTTCTTTTTGCTCCTGGCTATCCAAAAAGGGAAAGCTAAATAGACCTAGATAGCTTCATGTTTTAGGGGAAAAAAAGCAACAGTCCATTTCACTGTAAAACTAAATGATAATGAGGATGCTGACACTAACGAAAATTTAAAATACAGCTATATGTTTATTATATTCCAGGCATCATTTTAAGGACTTTATTATTCCATTTAATCCTAATAACCATGCTAAAGAGAGGAAACTAAGGAACAGAGAGATTAAATAATTTGTTCTAAGTTACCTAGCTGGTAAATAGTGAGACTGGGATTTCAAACCTAAGCTCTCCTAGTTGAAAGTTCATACCCTTGGACACCCCTCAACCCTGTCAAGTAGCTAATATGCAGCCCTACCCAGCCTCTTCTTCTCACTTATATAACTTGCCTGGATCCCACAGATCAACAAGAGGTTGCAACCCCTTGTCTAGGTGGCTATATTTTCAGAGCCTGCTTCATCTTGGACAATGGGAAGACACCTAAAAGATATGCAACCAGTGAGTTCAGCAAGGGAACCCTGTGGCCTGGCACCAAAAGTGGAGCCAGCCAACAAGAATCCCTCTTCAGAAGCACAACTGAGAGTCCTTTGAGGCAATGGAGCTGGTCAGCACAGAGGTACAAACTGAAAAGATGTAATGAGTGAAGCAGGAAAATGACCAGCTGCAAACTAAGTATGTGCCAATGTCACAAGGAAGCAGAATAAGCGAAGAAAGAAGGTTGGTGGAGAGGAGAACGAAGCAAAAAGACTGGGGACACCAACTGGAGAAAACACAGAGCCCATGAAAAGCACAGCCCATGAAAGGGTACAGGCTGGCTCTGACTACCTCTGGTCCCCCTGAGCCAAGCTCCAGGGTAACGTGTGTCCTTGGTTCCCCATGAGATTTCTGCCTTTCTTCTCTCTTTCATGAATTCACACCAAAAGCCTCCCTTGTGTGCCTGCCAGCTTGAGTAAGGCTGTGCTTTTTGTAATCTAAGTGAGCCGAAGCATTCTCTCCCCTTCAAATGCACTCATCCATCTTTTAAGAAGTTATCTATGAGATGAAAGATTTAGTTAGTATCCAATGAAAAAATATTAATTTCCTACGAGTTAAAAAACAGGCAAAAGCTGTTTGAACTACAACTTAATATACGAAATCTCTATTTTACTCTCTGTATTCAGATCAAGAGCCAAAAATGTTTAAATATTTACTTGTTAGATATATTTTTCTCATCACTAAATCATTGACCAAAACTATGGGTGAGTTGAAAGCACTATGATTTAAATGATGATTTCTTGTCTCTGTAACCACTCTCTGACAGTCTTTTTAAGTGACTAATAAAAAAAACAGCCCAAAGAGCTAAGTAACTACAGTGTTAGATACAATCACTTCATCTAGACTTATAACCTACTGAAATTTGTCTTTCTCAGCATAAATTTTGTAATGCATTGTGAATCGCAGAAAACAAAGTGAACATGTCCTATCTTTAAGACATAAACGAAGGCAACAAGTATTTATTCATGGAACAAACATTTATCAAATGTCCTCTCTGTGGAGCTGGTATTAAAATGAACATAATGAGATGGGTATCTCTTCCTCAAAAAATTCTGTTTAGAGGAAAAATGAACCCTAACTGTCTCTATGTACCAGAAAGAAAACAGAACACCTGAAAACTGCCTGGTGAGCAACACAGCTCAGAACCATCAAAGTACTAGGAGCACACAGGGGAGAGAACCAGTTATCCTGCCTCAGTATTACTGATAAGCAGAGGTTCCCTGGAGAGAAGAGAGGAATAGAATGAGGGGGACTGTGGTCTAGGGAGAGGGGATGATATGTGTAAAGACACCAAATCTCAAGATGATGGCACACTCAGAGTCGGGGCAAAGTCACTGGGGGCTGTGGTTAGATCACAGAAGATCTTGTAATATATGATAATGGTAGAACTGGGGCACTTACTAAATACTAGGTACTACGTCAGTGTGTTTTATGTGAATTAACACATTTAATCTACACGACAACCTATGTGGTACATGGTTTTTGTTTTTGTTTTTTTGAGACAGGGTATGGTGTGTACCCCAGGCTGGCTTTGAACTCGTGATCCTTCTGCCTCAGCCTCCCAAATGCTAGGATTATCAGGCCTGTACCACCATGCCCAGCAGTGTATAATATTTTTGCCTCCATCAATTGATAAAGAAACTGAGGCTGACTTCAAAGAAGCTGCCCAAGGTCACCAAGTTATTAGATGGGCAGTGGGATTCAACCCAAGCAGTCTGGTTCCAGCTTCTGTGCTATTACCTGGCAAGGTACAGTACTTCTTTCAAAGCTGAGCTACAGTAAGGTCCAAGGACAAATTCATTTGGTCGACAAACGAAAGTAAAAAGTAAGGTTCAAAAAAAGTTTAAAAAGTTAAGGTTCAAAAAGTAAAAAATTATAGACGCAGCTAAGTAACACTTGGCAAGGGCAAAGACCCAAGGCAAGAAGAGCAATTATGAGATTAAAGTAATATGATCAGAGGTTATATGTTTCATTACACTAAATGAAGAACTTCAACTCTGTAAGAATAAAACCAAAGTACACATCCATTCCTAAGGTCTGGGCCAGATGCTGGCACACAAAGGCCATGCTTAAGTATGCTTGTGGCAATCACCTTGGCTAAAGAGAAAAACATCTGGCTGTGGGTTACAAGCTGAGCCCACTACAGATGAGGCCTTGATACCATCAGTTTGGGTAAATGCTCTTCAGGAGGTGGCATGATCTGTGGGCAATTAAAAAAAAACACTTGCAGAGGGGGGAATTCCAGTAACTGTGCTTATATCTAGACCTCAGAGGTGGATGAGTAACAAGTCTTGGTAAGGCCTACAGCCCCCACTCTAGTTAAGGTACTTCACAGTCACTTTTCAGTTTCCAGGGCATATATGTTTGACATCTGGGTAACTCAGCAGAAAAATCAGGTTTGTAATATAAGATGTTTCTGTTGGGTCCTGGAAATTCATTTTAACCATTCAAAACAGAGACTGGATGTGTGTGTTGTTTCTAACTTGTCAAAACAGCAGTCTATTTTCCAACTGTCTCAAATAAAATTTATTAGTGTGGTTAGTTTTCTAATCTTCTCTTTTGAGTTCAGCTCCATCAGCACATGTGGCAATGCTTCTGTGGCAAACTTTATTCTCCCAGAAGGTTGCTAATGCGAGAAAAGATTTACAGGGTACAGTATTAATACAGTATTTTGTATTCAGATTTCACAGGTTGGAGATATAAATCACACTATCCCTTCTGAGTCCAGTGCCTTGTGCAACGCAGTGAGTACTAAGCTGGGAATGTGGGAACCAAGCCCACATTGGAAGACCTCACTCAACTTCAGTGTCAGACAGCATCCCAGAAAGAGGCTCCTGAGAGCAATGGGCTAGGTTAGAGGGCTACTGCACTATTCTTGACCTAAGAACCTTTTAGGAATATAATTCTAGATTTCAGAGCTGTGGGGAAC